AAATGACCTAATTTGTATCGTAGCAAATAAAGACATTCTTGTTCATCAGGATATTTTACATGTTGATTATTCACCTTGGACTAATTATGTATCGGTCGTTGCATTATCCATATACAACCTGAGGTATCGAAGAACTAATGGTATTAATATGCATATAACAATAAGATAGAGATCGATAGTGATTATGCAAACATGAAGAACAGTGTACGTAAATAATTCTATAGATTATGGTCGATTCATGACTAACCTAATTTGGTAAAAATCAAATTTTACTAAATATAGAAGTACGTTGATTTGTCATCATAACATTCTCTATCGCTATCGAAATGGGAGTTTGTGAGATGAACTCATTAATGGCTTCATGGAGATCCACATCGATGACCTGTTCGTAACAATCATCATCGAGATATTAAGATGACAGTTTATTAATGACTCTGGAAAAGGAAGTATACTAAGGATCGATGTGTTTTTGGAAACCCATTAATACTTGTGCTGCTGCAAGCGCAGAGGAGATGGGTGGGACCCGCGTCATGTTAACTGGTCTGTGGAGCGTAACGTGGCGCGTTTGACCATGGAAAAGAGAGTCGTCCTTTTCCTTGGCCACCCAATCACCAAAATTCTCGCCCTATGCGCTCTCTGCCGTCGTCCCCCTTCTCGATGCATCAACGCTGACGACGGCAGAGGAAACGCTGGTAAAGACGGCCTACTCTACAGTTGTTGAACTCGCACCAGTACGGCACCACAATTCTCTATCTTCTCTTTTTCTCTTTCTTTTGGCGATGAGTTCACGTCACCTGCGCCAGGTTTCCACCGCATGAAATTTGTCAATGCGACGGCGGTTGTGCAAGCAAAGCTTGCTGTTTACATGGATTTATGAATTAATGGCGACGAGAAGAGAAATATAGTCTGTCTTTCTGATGACGACCTCTGTATGTCTAAGACAATCCTCGATATAACCATCGGCAAATCTTTCCATGCATTTTCCATTCCATGCCTGTCCTGCCAGTGGAAGTAATGGATGGATGAGGCAGCAGCAGCTGCAGCTCGAGAGTCATGTATACGTTCCGAGAATCATCACTTCGATCATTAGGCACAGTGATTGGAGGCAATGATGACCTTGGTTGCAGGAAAGATATCAATGGCTTGACGGAATACCTTCACTGCAGGGTATAGAAAAGAGGAACAGAGACGCCAGGACGACGACCCATGGTCAGTGCATGCCCTTGCTGACAGGGGAACCCATTGCCAATCATGTTCATATATATATATATATTGATAACACATAAAGCTTAAATTTTCTCTGGAACAAAAATATTACATTGATGTGTAAGTTAATGAAACAGTTGAAAGGTATAGTGATGGTAATGATTTGTCGAGTAGATGATGAGAAGGGAACAGAGGAATGAAGCAAAAGATGGAAAGGAGGGAGTCACGGGTTTACCTTGAAAGTTGAAACGAAAACCTCCAAGTCCATATAACATTTCGTCTTTGCTTACCCCCCAACACCGACCGACACATATTCTCCCCCTCACACCTCGAGGCTATGAAGTATGCATTAAACCCCCTCGCCAATTAAAACTCCACCTACACACTCCCACTCCCACTCCCACACCGTCCGCTGTAGTCTGCAGTAAAATGGAGAGGTGTTGGGGAGGAGGAGGAGGAGGAGCAGCAGCAGCAGGAGTGGCGGCGGCGGTGTCGGAGCCGCACAAGCCAGTCCCGGCGCCCTTCCTGACGAAGACGTATCAGCTGGTGGACGACCCCGCCACGGACCATATCGTCTCCTGGGGTGACGACCGTGTCTCCACCTTCGTGGTGTGGCGCCCTTCTGAGTTCGCCCGGGACGTCCTCCCCAACTACTTCAAGCACAACAACTTCTCCAGCTTCGTCCGCCAGCTCAATACCTATGTACGTGTTGTCCTCTTCCCCGACTCTCTGTCCTCGTTTCGTTGTTTGTAGTGCTTGTGACTGAACTCTCCTTTTTTTTACTTTGGTGGCGACGACGGTGGCACAGGGGTTCCGGAAGGTGGTGCCGGAGAGATGGGAGTTCGCGAACGAGTTCTTTAGGAAAGGCGAGAAGGAGCTCTTGTGCGAGATCCACCGCCGCAAGACCTGCTCTTCCTCTTCTTCCTCGTTTCCATTGGCTTCGTCTCTTCCCTTGTTCCCTCCCTTCCACCACTTGGAAGACTACCGCCTGGCCTCCCCACACTGGCACGACGCCTCCTCGTCGCGCTTCCTCCTTCTCGGCGGCAATGATGTTAATTCTACTAATGCTATTCGGATCGGCGGCGGCTGCGGAGGAGGAGGGCAGCCGACTGCGGCGGCGTTGTTGGAGGAGAACGAGAGGTTGCGGCGGAGCAACGCGGCCCTGCTGTCGGAGTTGTTCCACATGCGGAAGCTTTATAACGACATCATCTACTTTGTGCAGAACCACGTCCGCCCCGTCGCCCCCAGCTCCGCCGCAGCTTCTGCCAACTTCTTCCTGTCCTCAGCCTATCAACGGAGAGGGTGTCACAACTCCGGCAGTCCCACCTCCAGCAGCTCGCTCACCATTGCCGAGGATCCATCGCCTTCTCCACTCGACAACGCAACAAATGACAAGGACATTGGCTGCAACGAAGAGAGCAGCAGTGCGAGACCCAAGCTCTTTGGGGTGTCACTTCACGGCTGTTCTAGCAGCAGCAACAAGCGAGGATTTCATCTCCACGAGCCAACCTCGCCCTTCACCAGACCGCGTTTGGTGTTAGACAAGGAGGACTTGAGTCTCAATCTAACGCCATCTTCTCCCCCTGCCTGTTAACACACCCATCCCATCCCATCCCTTCTCTCATCATCTACTGCTCTAGACTCCTTGTCGTTGTTTCTCTTTCCAGCTTCGCTAATTTTGTAGTTGCCTTCTCAGTTGCTGTCGAGAATTAATGTAAATAATCCGATCTAATGGACTTGGTGTACTTTTCACGTCACTGTATACGAGTCGAGTCCATGAAAGCAACTTATTCTTCTTGACCTCTGAAAAGAAGCGAGTGAAGTGTCTGAGGGAGACAGTCTCCTCCGAGTTGGTCAAGCAGAGCATGACGCCATGGAACAAAAAAATAAATCCAGGAAAAAGCAGTCTAAATCGGCGATCCAATCCAGAAACCTGGAGCATGGATGGGCAGCCGTAGAGAAGTGTAAGCAGCAGCAGAAAGAAGAGAACGGTGTCTTCTTCTCCTTCTTCTTCTTCTTGCTCAAAACTACTGGGAACGTGATCGTTGTCAGAGATTCCCCGTCCTCGTGCTGCCATGCAGACAGACTGCACGCTGACCCACTTGCTTCTCCACATAAAATGACAAGGAACAAAGCAACAAGAACGCGCAGGGAGAACGCGGTGTGGCCCATGCAACGATCGATGGCTGTGATGATTTTGAGGCCGCTGCCATGAAGAGGACGATGCACGATGCACACACAACGTGCTACTATTTCTACGCTTCTAAAGCCATATATTTCGGATAATTCCCTTCTTTTCCCATGCTCCAGTTGAAGCTTCTAGCGATGCAATGAATCATCACTAAGGTTGAGATCACATACTCTGTCGGGCAGTGTGAAGTTGGAGGCTGTCCTTGCTGGAGCAGCAACACGCCATTGCCTCTTTTTCTACCACCTTTAAGGTTTTGATGATACCGCGAGTCTTTCTTTGTGGGCTCATTGGGTTCGCTTTCTTCCTCTTTACCTTTCTCTTGCCCCGAGCTCCAATTACGGGGGCCATTGACCCGGGAATGCCTTGTGCCGTAAACGCAATACCTGTCGCCAACCCGCTTTATCGTATGTTGTAAAGGGACTAAGGGGTGATTAAAGTTGACCAGATTAAAGATTGGGAGTGGACTCCATGTAGGCTGGCGGCCTTCTCGGTGCCATGGACGCCCAAAAGAACAAGAAAAGGAAAGGGAACTTATGGGGAGACCGAATGATGTCAAACGAGAAAGAAGAAGTAAAAGCACATGCGAAGGCCTTAACACGCAGCACCCATCTACGATGCCTGGAGTCACGTCAGGGTTCCGGTCCAACGTATCATGTTCAACAAATATTGAGACCGCGTCACGTGGAGCGAGAGGGTGAGTTCTGTGCGCACGAGAACAAAGATGTTCTTCCTGTCATTTCACCTTGTCGATACGGTCAGTATGAGCCTGGCAAAGTAGTACCTTTGCCTTATGCATTGCATTACAGACCAACGAATCATTGGAAACATCACAAGTAAACTCTCGTTCGAGATTTACTCATACCATCATCTACTGCAAGAAGGCATACATATAACGAATCTGTGTCCTGTTGAAATTTACAAGCAAGATTTTTTCGGAACAGTTCGAGTTATATCAATAAACCATATACATGAAACATCTCACACACTATCATTTAAAGTTCAGGATTGGAATGGCAATGAGTAAGACATCTATTATCTGTATTCAAAGCCCACTTGAATCCCTTTCGAACCTGATTTAAGTTACCTGAACCCTCTTTAATTAGGTCGATTAGATCTTAGTACTTTAAGTTACTTTCATTCCTACTAGTGGCATTGCCTATAAGGCACAAGTGAGAATGTACCCATCCAAATCATATTAGATTAAACTAAGCATGCAATTTCACATAAACATAATCCAATCTTTTGTCACATATAAGGCCATACATACATTAATCACAAAGTCATTATTGTTTAACCAGCAGCAACTGGGCGGGCTTATGTATGACAGTCCAAACAATTCTAACAAGTATACCACCTTTAAACCGAATAGCAATCGCTAATTGCTCTTAAGAAAATATACAAGCATCGGAGAAGACGTAACAAAGCAAATGGAAAGTTAACTTTCAAGTAAGCAAGAGGCATGTTAGCACAACTGGACCCTTGTTTCCGCTAGGCATCAAGGTTTGAGAATTTCATTATCTGAAAAAGAGACAAGCTTCTAAATCGGCTCATAATCAGTCTTCTTGGATCAAAAGTTGCATTATATTTACCAACAAACATTAAGAAACAAAGGGCATGAAATTTGACACGAATCATCACTAACTCAACATATGATGATCGGACTTACAAGGGTTATGCCTTCCCGATAAATCCATGGAAACCCTCCTGCTGTTATGATGTTAAAAGCTGCATTTACCTGTTTGATGAGTTTCTCAGGCCTAAATTATGAGAACAAAACCGTCGCCTAAAACATATTGAAAACAGACACTGAGGTGCTCTGGAAGGATATAACACTCCCAAACAAAATGTATTTTGGCATCTGACAATCTTATATTATTGATATCTATAATAATCATTAAGCTGCTTTCAGCTTAGCCAGTTCTGGTGCAGGAGAGACTCCACCAGTCGTTGGCCTGAAAAGTAGTAAAAGTCTTTAAGTATCTGAACGTTACAATAAGGAAGCAATTATATCATGAGTTAAAATCATGACAGTTCTAAGGGAGGCACTTACAGGCCAACCATGACTTTGAAAGCATCGTAAATCCCCCACTGTGCGCCAGTTAGAGTGCCAATCATCACAATACGAAGAGGGAGCCCACGTGTGAAAAGACCCCACAGACCAAGCTTTTTCACAGCCTTAAAAAGAAAAAATGTAAATTGTTACTATCATATAAACATATTATGATCTAGCAAGATGATATATCAGATTATAATAAACCATACTATGAATTTTGTGAAATACAATGAATATATGAAGTACTCACATCACCAACTGTAGCACCCTTAGCGTTGTTTAGGAAAGAGACAAGGTTGTCAGCTGGATGAGAAACTATAGCACAGAAAATTCCAGCAATATAACCACCAGCAAAGCTTATGCCCAGCTGACGTGTTTTGCTACACTGGTCTTTGGGTGTTGGAATTGCATATTTGTAGATCATCTCAACCACAGTCTCAAAGGATGCAAATTTCATCATGGTATCTGCGCCAAGCAGTACATATAAATTTGACATAGGAGCTAATTTCTCACCATTAGATTACATGTGAGAAAGACTAAGCATGCAAATCTTATATAAGAAGGAAAACATAAAACACAATTCTTCATTACATTTATGTGAAGTTACTATAAACTATATTGCTCCAATGGGCTCATTGTCTACACAAGACTTATTATCCAAATCATCACATATAAAAACGACAACATCGGAAGCAACAATCGCAATGCATGTTTTTTTTGTAAAAATAGCTCAATTTTGCATGTAAAACCAGCTACAAGTATACTTGAATTGAATAAAGAAATTGTGTTATTAAAGATCCACATTGAAACTAATATCCCAGTTTTTTTATATATTAAACATAAAGTCGAGTCAATCCCTGTACTTCCATTCATTGTTCATGAAAATCTCATTCCGATCTCTCTCTGATCGATTTCAATAACATCCAATAACTATGAAGTTAGTGTACACTGTGATTGGGTTTGCCATTTTAGCCCTTTGCTAGCAGCCTTATGAAAATGAATGAGCTTATTCACTCTCCAATGTTACATTCACTTACAACAGAGAATGAAACATTTAAAAGAGACAAATAAAGAATATGAACTATATAGACTAATCAATCCCATTTTCCAAGTAAACGAACCAAATGGTTAGACAGCAAAATTTCTTATGTTATAAACAGGCCAACAAGTCACATTCTTCAAAATCCTTGGTGTCAGCTCACCAATATTAAGAAGAAAAGTTGCCAGGTCAGTGCAGTCTGACAAAATGAAATTACAGATCGTAACAAAGAAAAGCATAGTAAGTTACGTAAACAAGTATCCAAGTGAACAAGGTCAAATACAATCCGATAACAGCATTCAACATAGAAAAATGTGACCTCTTACACAATCACTAACATATCTTTCCCTGAATCAAGAAGCCCTGACCTAATAATTTGACTGATTCCTAACAGTTAGCCCACAGATGTTAAAGAAATTGACGGGATCAGCAAGACCACCTGATCCTATGATAACTCAAGTTACTCAACATGATTGCAACCAAACTGCAATAAATCTCAATCAATTTTTGACATGTCCAGTGGTCCAATTAGTTATCAACCAGCTAAGAGAATCCCAGACAATCCCAATCTTATGCAACACACTTATATTTGCATTAATTTTAAGAGAACACATTAGCAATCATATCCAGTCAATCCAACCAATTCCATTCCAAAATTCTACTACCCATCAGGGTCTTGCAAAATTTAATTCAAGCAGCTTCAGAAGGATATGATAAACAATTGTCTTTGAATTTACAAGATCTTATGAATCCCATTTTCCTACCGTTGCACTTTTGTTAGCAATATTTTGCATGGCATTTTCTAATAGAGAATACGTTTTCATTATATCAAGCAGGAAAAAAAAGAGTATGCAGGATATACCATAAAGATAAAGATCTAATTAAAATTCAGGTCTTCTCAATGTTTGACAATACTATAGCCCAACCTATCATTTGAAGCAACAGAGTTGACAAGTATAGGTATCAATCGGTTATAACACACAATTTCTAAAACCCAATTCACATGATCTTTCTCTTATCTCTTTATGATCTATTATTTTTTAACTGAATCAGATATTACACAAGGATCAAATATAATCCTTAGTTTAAAGAAAGAGAAACAGTCATGTGAACCAATTTATTGAAGTGCAACCCCATTCAGATCAACAGGAGACGACTCAAGTAGAGAGGTTTGATTTTTATATGCACATTTAAAATCTTCTGACCCTGGCCAGGAAGATCACAGAACTATGTGAAAACACAACAGACTGACAAGATGATAGGAAAATCAAACATACGGAATTTCTCAGGGTATCTTGTGAAAGGTTGGAAATAAACATGATATCTAAGAAGTTTTCCCCCACGTGCTATGCCCAAAAGTTGAGTTAAGATAGAGTTGTCATCATGCACAAACATCCAAGCGTTTGTTATATAAATATAAATGACAATTTGAGTAAATCCTAACAAAAAAAGGCCACGACTCATGTTTATGTGCAAAAGAAAACACACAAATAGCAGACAACAATGACGATGATCCCTTTAATGTATAACACTAAAAGACAAAAAGTCATCAATCAAGGAAAAAAAAGGTTTTGACGATGACGAAATAGATGCTGCATATGAAATGTTAAAATGATTAGCGTCCTTGGAATTAGCACAACTTTTAGTTTGGATCATCCTGCATTTCCACATCAACTATTCTTAAATTTGTAGCACAGAAAGGATCACTATGCTTTGAAATATTCTTCCAAGTGTAAAAAGAGGGAACTTAAGTTTCCAATTAGTCAATGAAATATGTAAACTTCACTTGAGTGACCACAATCTAGTATCAGAGTGGAGAAGACAAGAGAAGACGAACATTTCATATATGCAAACGAATGAAGTTCCAATATTCAGACTTAGATTACATGAAGAATGATGCCAGGCACTAACCAAAGGACGCAATAAGCTGAAAATAAGCAATAGTTTTAAGTGTAAATCTACAGAGCAATATGCCTAGAAAATATAACATGAGCTACACCAAAGTGAATTACATCAATGTCAGGTATCCAAACATAATGCTGGTGCAAGAAAACTCATAAACCAGCATAACAGAGTGTTGAGAAACTAATTTTCTTGGAACACAAAAAACATCTCAATGTTAATAATAGAAAGCAAGGATTGAATAACATACATAATATTGTCAAAGGCACTAGGCACTGTGAGGCACTAAGATCCCAAATTACGTGGGAGCTAAGTGCCAACCAAGCAAAACAAGATGCTTACCTTACAAAATTTGTAAAGAAGATAATAAAGAAAAATAATAATCATTATAACAATAATTTTAATCAAAATAAGTTGCAAATTATTTTGGAGGACACCTTTTGCACAATAATCTATTTTTACCTCTTGACTTTGTTATTATGCTTGAAAAATATTTCTGCTATTAGTTTTATTATAAAACATGCAACTGACAATATAAGGGTCTTTGGATCCTCTTAATAGTTGTATGTCCATCCAAGATACTTTTTATGTTTCTTCATGATAATTCTTCTGGCATACCTATAGTTACCATTGTACCAAAAATGCAATTTGAATTTCTCTGTTAAATTGATTAATTAACACACACACACACACACACACACACACACACACACACACACACACACACACACACACACACACACACACACACACAGAACATGAGAGGGAGAGAAGAAGATGGATGAGAGTGAAGAGGACAACAGCATCAATATTCCACTTACAAAGAGTGAAGCAAAGAAGAATGAAAAGTAGAAGGAAAAGGAGAATCATTACTTACAAGGAATCTGACGCCCCCAAAGTGGAACTATTCCTTTATATAGTCTGCAGCAGAACAATAGTTATAATAAGATAAATTGCAACAGAAACGATAAACAACTAAACCACATGGATGAAAAGTAAAATGACAAAAACAAAAACAAAAACGTACCCCATAACACCTTCAGATTTGACAAATTTAGGCAACCCATCACTCAATCCCCTTGCAAAACCAGGCTGTGTCTGGACCCGAACCTTCACAGCCTCAAAGGGGCAGAGAGCTACATCAGCAATCACTTCAGCAGAAGCAGACCCAGCAAGATAGATCAAAGTCTTATACTTGGCGGCATACTCTGGCCCAGCTATATCTGAATAGTACTTCTTGAAGTACTCATAAAACCCAAACTTGCATGCCCCCTGGGCGCTGTATCCAAGCAGAGTAGGTACCCAGCCCCTAAAGAAACCCCTGATCCCTTGTTCTTTAAGCAAGACTCCAAATCCTGAAGAGATGCTTTTGTACTTAGCTGGGTCGATCTAGAAGATGCCAGCAAGACTTATGGTCAAATAGATCCATTGAAAAATATAAAATAAACATCAATCCAGTCAACGAAACACATTCATCAATAGTGAATATGGCATAGATTAACCAATCAAGGCCTGAAATTTACTTGCACCAACTTATATCGAACACCAAACATTTCTATCGAGCCTTAACCGCCGACGCATGAGAACCGTACTTAATCGCGCAGATCAATCTACAGAATATGATTTCACAAAACAGAAGATGAATCATGGAAACAGAAAGACTGGAATGCAATATATCATCAGGACGACGTAGTTGAAGAAAAATTAACCAATGTGGCTAAAGCCGAAGCACGGTAATCTGAAGGAGAACCAACAAATCAGCAAGTAGAAATCAGGAAATAAGCATCAACTATCCAAAGAAGTCGGATCATGTAAATCGAAAACTGCCACTGAAATAGAAGCTACCAAAATGAAAAATTTAATCCAAAAGGCAAATAAGAAAAAGGAAAAGTAACTAAAATTACCGAAGAAAAGAACTAATCGAGTGAAATAAAAACAGAAAATCCCCACAAGAACACTTAAGGCAGACCAATGGACTGGTAACCTCTAAATCCCAGTACCATAGATCGACTGCTTCGAAAAAGCCGACGCATCTCACCTGCATATTACACTTGACGAGGTCAAGCGGAGTGACGGCCATGTGGGTGAGGCCGCAGCTGGCGATGCCGCCGGCGGTACAGGCGGCGTAGAACATGGGCGAGTACATCTCGATTTTTCCGGGCTCGTTGGGCGCCTGGGCAACGACTGGGGCTGGCGAGGCGGCAATGCCCGCCGTCACCGGTGAGGCAGTGGTCCTCCCCAGGATCCGGTCCAGGGCTCGGGTTCCGGAGGCCGGGGTGGGCGAGTACAGGAAGGTCGGGAGGAGGGATTGGTGAGATCTCTCTGTCAGATCCATTGCAGCTCCCCTCGATTACGTGTTAGGGTTCGGATCAAAGAGGAGCCTGAGTTGGAGGCGAGAGCCAATGTGATGGCTCTCTTGCCTCTCTTCTTCTCACTCGTGAATGTGACGGACGCGAAATGACTGGAGTTTTGGTGCACTCCCCAATTTTTAGGGCGCGGTGGTGTTCGCTAAATTGTCGGACTTAAAAGACGCAAAAGTTCCCGGCATCTTTAGGGAATTACCTATATAGACAGTATTCGTGGAAATTGATGGGAGTGGCAATATTGGAAATAAACGAATATGCGGGGTAATATTCGGAGCCGCGGTCTACGCCTCTTCTTTTGCCCAATTGAAGGCCGAATTCTTCGACAGAGATCGGAGGATGCGATTCATCGACAAAAAAATGTTCAGATGGACGGTGGGAGATGATGTATTCGATTAAAGAATATTATGTTAAATTGAGATTGGGCTTAAGTTTCGTCTATTGGGCCAAAATTGGGCCGCATTTGGTGTTGCGACCTCACAGAATCGTTTCTTTGCTTCCTCACACGTTCCTCCCCGTCGCGGGCGGCAAACAAACGAGGAAGTCTGCGACTGGAAGCCACAGCAGCAACCCCATGGCAGAATCGCTTCCTGCATATCCGTAAGCTATCCTTTTCCATTCCTCCCATGCCTTCTCAACTCCATATATAAATCCATCCTCCATCACCTCCCTTACTTCCACACACCGCCTTCTCTTTAGCCAAATAAGAAGCAAACAGCACTGCCGCGACTCCATGTCTCTGCGCCCCTCGGCTCCCAGGACCTGCCGCCTCTTCTGGTGCTACCAGTGTCACCGCGCCGTCCGCATCATCTGCTCCCCGGCCGCCGACGTCCTCTGCCCCCGCTGCTACGGCCGCTTCCTGCACGAGATCGACTTGCCCCGCCCCCGCCTCGTTGTCGAGCTCACCCCCGTCCGCCCCCTCCGCGACCACCCTCTCTTCCCCCCGCCCGCATGGCGCCGCTACGCCGAGCTCGACCGTGTCCGGCAGCTGGACTCCGACGACGGCCGCCGCAACCCCTCCGGTTCTTGGATCGTCTTCAGGAGGACCACGGATGACCGCCCCGTCGACCCTGGCCCTCGGCGTCCTCTGACCCCCGCTCCTCCTCGCCGAGAAGAGCCGTCGATTCCTGCGGCGGTGCGCCCGGCTGACTACTACACCGGTCCTAATTTGAACGAGCTGATCAATGAGCTCACCCAGAACGACCGCCCGGGGCCACCGCCCGCGCCGGCTCCGGCTATCGAGGCAATGCCGACTGTCTCCATAACGGAGGCCCACCTGACCGACGGCTCTCAGTGCCCGGTCTGTAAGGAGGAGTTCAGCCTCGGCGAGGAAGCGAGGGAGATGCCCTGCAAGCATGTGTACCATTCCGAATGCATCGTTCCATGGCTCAGCATGCACAATTCGTGCCCGGTATGCCGGTTTCAGCTGCCGGGTGCGGGGAACGGCGGCGGGCAGGAGAACAGAGCTAGTGGCAGCTCGAACACAGGCAGTGGTCGGAGCCGCCGACAGGACCGATGGAACCCCTTCTTCCAGCTGTGGCCCTTTCGAGAGTCTTTGCACACCGGGGACTACCAGTACCGGGGACTCGAGGAGCACGAAGACATTTTTAGTAGCCCTGGTGGTAATGATTCGAGAGTCCTTCCAGCTTTTCTTCTCATCTCCTTGTATTTCTGCGTCTTCTCATACTTCCTTTGAAACAACTGCACAATTTCACACTTGGGAAAGTTGGAGGTCTCAGCATCATCATGCAGAATGTTATTACATGAACTCTATATCTGATCATGTATTTACAGCATATAAAGCTTAAAAATCTTGCAAAGGTGATTTCTTTTTGCCTTTTATGTCATATGTTTACTAATATGGTGCATAAAATTGTTATTATATCAAGCATCGTATATTATCTTTCCTAATCTGTGTTTATTAATTGTTAAGAGTGTGACTAATGATTGATTTTTCTCAGCCTTCTATTCATGGTGGCGCTCTTTATTTCTTCTCTAGCAGTTCTTCTAGTGGTGCAGTCATTCTCAAAAGGCCAAAGGGAGGCCTGCTTAGTGGACAGTTAAGTCTTTCCCTTGAACCCTTTACTAGTGTTTGTCATTCTGTGCATTTGGCATCTGATACCTTAGCTTCTTAGCTACTTAAGCTCTAATTGCACCTTGTAATGATGCCTCTTTAGAATGTCCATCTTCCTATAGGTTATTTTTTGCATATATTTCCAGGTTATGATCTTGTTTGGAGATGAAAATTAAAGTTATCATGGAAAGCATGTAATTAGAGTGTTTATTACTGATAGATGAGTTAGCATACACAAATTGTCATCTGATAGAAGAATTCAATGAGCTTATAGCTAATTTAGCTTTGCTCAAGTTCTACACTAGTTTAATTACATAAATTTGTGCATGATATATTTTTTTCCATGTTAATCTGCAAAGAAGGCAAGCAAATGATGAAGGTAATATGGCTGTGCAGTCGTCAAACGAAGGCTGGGAATGCTGATCCCAGATCATCCATTGAAGCTTCACGGAAGAAGAAATATTGAGTCGATATTTTTACGAAGAAAGAACACAGCTACACATCTTTATGTAATCATCTGCTATGTACAAGGTTAATTCATCGACATAAGACCTCAAAAAATAGTGGTCAAGGTGTATCTCTTTCAATGACCTGAATGGCTTATAATTGTGATTAAACATTATATATTGATCTTAAAGGGATCCATTTATCATATGAGAATGTCTTCTCATGACTGATAATTAATTGAGGTTTGTTCACACTGAACAGCCCATATGTCAGAACATAATTGTTCTGACAGTTTATGGGCTGTTCTTCACAATCCTAGCTTTGGATAGCTTACTTAATTGAGTTAAAATTGATGATGTTGCCCTGCAGCTTACTGGTGATGTGTAAGGAACTTCATGGTGTCACTTGAACATAAAACATGAAGCTTTTTAGGTAGAAGAGAGAGATATGATATCATCAACCATGATGAAGTCACTAGCTTGAGTCTCAGTCTCTTTCTTTTTCTTTACCCTTCTAATCTGTAAGTACTTTGGCATGCAAAGCTGCAGAATTGGTGATTAGCATGCAAATCCCGGCACGACACTTCAGTCCTATGCCAATGAAACATCCAGCTAAAAGGAAGATGACGATTGACTGGTCCTAATTCACATAGACAAGTGATTGTCCATTAGATTCCAACGTGTTGGTCTGAGATGGTCGACGCAAACACAAATCGGCTACGCAATTGTACGTCGAACTCCGATTCACCAACACCATGATGGATCGAAGGTGTAAGCCTAAGATTCTGATGTCATTCTTTCACTCGAGCTGCCCAAATGTGCAAGGTGGAGCCCCGAGGCCGCAAGGAGTCTACCTAGGATTTTGATGTCAGATGCACATAGAAACATTCTAAAGCTTTAGTTTCATTACTATTATATCTGTGATATGCGAATGAACCCAAACGCTTTATGGCATCCACCTTTCTCCACTTCAGTAAACCAGCGGCGTCGAGTGGCCACAACCCTACTGTCTTGAGGCTGCGAGACTTATTCTGTGGTCTGCAGGTTGAAATCCTCTCGTGACCGCACCACCCAACGAGGCTCAGTTGCATCACCGTCATTAGTTGCCGCTCCACAGGTACCACATTGCCATGCACTGCTCCCACTAAGTGGATTAAACTAATCCAAGAGAAAGAGAATTGGAGCTTCTCTTGGACGTCTCTATTACAGGTCGATACCCAAGATTGTACTGTCAGTTCAGCATGACCACGAAGTGGGACTTCGGCACTTTCAGCGTGCCTTTTTCTTCCCCCTATATAAGTCTGAAGGGTGCAGTCTTCGATTGCAAGAGAGAAGACAGATCTAAAGGATAGCTGATAGTTGAACAGTTCGGAAGATTTGGATTGTGTTCTTGAGGTTTTACTGGTATGGGGTTCGTCGAGGTGATGATGACGGTGAAGGCTTATGTGCTCATGGTGCTGCTGCAGTTTGGGTACGCTGGGATGTTTGTCATCTCGGTGGCATCGATCAAGCGTGGGATGAACCACTTCGTGCTGGTGGTGTACAGAAATGCCATTGCTGCTCTCTTCATTGCACCCTTTGCACTGTGGTTTGAGAGGTTCTCTCTCTCTCTCTCTCTCTCTATCTCTCTCTCTCTCTCTCTCTCTCTCTCCTGGTCATGTCACACACGTGAACACAGCATCAAACCTGTTGTGCACCATCACTCTCTCGTTTTCAGCAAATTAAGGTCGGCGAAACTCCATGACAATGATGGTTCGCCTTAAAGCATTTGGATTATGTTGGAATTCGATCGCAAAGTACCAGCAATGCAAAAAAGACAAAGAAATCATCACTGTTGCTTCCCTTCCATCATGCCTCTCCACTATTGCATTTGCTCATGTTTTCTATCTTCTTCTCCAACAGGAAGACAAGGCCAGAGATGACAGTCATCATCTTCCTCAAGATAGCCGCTCTAGCCCTTTTAGAGTACTGATCATATCTATCTGAAATATTACACCATGTCATTAATCTCTGTTGACGCTAGTTGTAAGATGATTGACTTCTGATCTCTTCCATTACAGGCCTGTCCTTGACCAGAACTTGTACTACATGGGTGCAAACTTAACCTCCGCGGGTTTCGCCTCTGCCCTGTACAACATGATCCCTGCAATTACCTTCATAATGGCCATCGTTCTAAGGTAAATAAATATACGCAGCTCAATCACGTAAATCGTCATCCAAATAAGTTAGCTATCTCAGTCGGAAAATAAGATCTACGCTAACTATCACTCGATCATTGCTAGAATTGAGAAACTAAGGATTAAGAGCCGACATAGCCAAGCCAAGATTGTCGGATCGCTGGTGACCGTAGTAGGTGCATTGCTCATGATATTGTACAAGGGCCCAGTAGTAGAGTTTGTATGGTCCAAAGGGAGAAGCCACCGTGACACAGCAACCAGCCAAAGCAGCGGTAATTGGCTAACAGGCATCTTCTTGCTACTGGGGAGCTGCTTATGCTGGTCTAGCTTCTTCATCTTACAGGTAATGCATGCACCCAGTTGATATCTACAATGAATAGATATGTCATGTCTCTTTCACCGACTGTTCCTTCAGCTATGGAGGTAATGAACAGAGAGCAATCGTGTCTTTGCAGTCCAATACCTTAGAGACGTATTCTGCGGAGCTATCCTTGACGACGTTGATATGTCTTATGGGTGCGGCGATGAGCGCAGTGGTCACTCTGGCGGTGGAAGGCTTCAGCGCGAAACCTTGGACGATCGGTTGGGACATGCGGCTCGTCACTGCTATCTACTCTGTAAGATCAGATCAAACTCAGGCTAACACACCGTTCATTTACGGAAGCTGACACGACTGTCTCATCTCGGACACTGCAGGGTGTGGTTTGCTCCGGAGTTGCCTACTATGTGCAAGGCATAGTGATGAAGGAGAGAGGTCCGGTGTATGTCACTGCTTTCAACCCACTCTGCATGATCATAACTGCTGTCTTGGGCTCCATAATTCTAGCAGAGGAAATAACCTTAGGAAGGTGAGCGAAAACAACGAAATATGACATCTCTTCCTTGCATCTACTACAAACACCAAAGGAAACCATAGAGATACTGATGCTTTTCTCTTGGAAACTTGTAGCGTTATTGGTGCAGTAATCATAGTTGTTGGCCTCTATTCGCTCATCTGGGGCAAGAGCAAGGATCAAGCAAAGCAATCTTCGGAGAGAACTGCAGCCGAAAGAACTCTACAGCTGCCGATCGCTGCAACTGATGCTGGCAAATTTGGATCCAGTGGTCAAGTCAGTCTAATAGAAATAAACGCGCCAAAAAATCCATGATCATCAAAAAGAGATTTTGTTGGCGCAAGTCAACAATCCTCAGGTAGATGTGTTTTCTTCTTGTTTTTGCCTTAATAAAGCTTGTCAGGCACTTGTGTTCATCAGATTTCTGATAGAGTGTCAGATAATGAGTGAGTACATGTTTTTGATCAGGTACATGTATTTAATCTGAATAAAGCATATCAGGCACTTACAATCATCAGATTTCTGAGTGAGCGAATGTGATTTAGTAGGGCAGCTTTGCTGTTTTGGTTCTGAATCGGACAAATTGCATGTCATTCTATGTGGCTGGCATTGAGACTCGACCAAAACATGATCGAATCTGAAGGAGACAAAGCCACATGGTAGGAGTTAGGATCGGGTCCCTCCTCCACGTAAAATTGCCTCATTCCCACAACACCACTGACGACGACTTCTCTCGATTGTCTGTCTCTCTACAGACAAACTCGCTTCTTTTCTAAAGGGTGCGAGCTTGCTGTTTTGTTTAGGAGCACTTCATGCCTCGATAGGTTTATTATGTACAGAAATTTCAAGTTATTTAATAGATTCATGAATAGTTGATCGCGTTAAGTTCGAATTAAATGTTTTGTTTATACATATAAATATTCTACTAATCCTTTCTTGCACAAGTAAGCTTGGGGTGAAAACAATCAATAAAATGGTGAGATAGCCATATCTTTTAGTTCAACCTCGCATAACGTCTGATAATTCGACACATATCTTTAGATATAATGAATGATACATAATCGAGCTTCCAATTAACTCTTACTTCGATTCAAAGGTTATTTAATCTTGACTAAACAATTAGTGATATATTGCAGTGGTACGATACAAGAATATATCAATCAACACGTATCATCGTAATTTAATAGGATTCGATCATCGAATCCAATCTCTCTCTTCTTTTGTATAGCAAGCTAAAAAAAATAAAATAAAAAAAGATTAAGATTTATTTTAGCTCATGTGATTTTTGACATCGACCACTTAAATTTTTATGATTTACTCGTGTCTAAAATAACTTCTATATTTTTAAAAATATAATATATAAGTCCTTTCCGTCAAGTTTAAGTTAACAAATGTTAAGAGTCTGCTTACGTAGTATGTCGACTTACGGTAAATAATTAATATAATGACACATATAATTTAAATTTAGAAAAATGATTAAGATCCATTTTAACTCTTGTGATTTTGGTCATGGATCATTTATGCTCTTATAGTTTACTCATGTCTAAAATAACTTACATAGTAACAACTCGATGCTACTATTGGTAGTCACTTCCATGATAACGCCTCATCCAGTTATTGATGATGGTCTCATTTAAAAAAAAAATAAATTATATATCTCATTGTATTAATAGTTTATTATGAGTTAGCATGTCACATAAATATATTTTAACGTCTGTTAACTCAGACTTGACGAGAAAGACTTATATATTATAATTTTAAAAATATATTAATTATTTTAGATATAAATAAATTATAAAGACTTAAGTGGTCCATTGTCAAAATTATATAAACTAAAATGAACTTTAATTATTTTTTAAACTTAAATTATATATATATATATATATAATATTAATAATTTATTATGAATCAATATATTATATAAAATAAATTATAATATCTACTAACTTAGATTCGAGGAAAGAGATTTATATATTATATTTTTTAAATATAAAAATTAATTTAGATAAGCATAAATTATAAGGAGTTAAGTGGTACGACCATTCAGGAGCTTCAACCAAGAGAAAAATAATAACAGATGCTTTTAGCTGTACCACCACGTGTAAGAATTATGCAAAGGCTTCCCACCAACCACTGGTGTTCGTGACTCAACATCTGATCCATCCTCTGTTCCGCGCAAGTTGTCTCCACAAGTCTAAAGTGACAATATATTCCCCATCATTGTTGATGGAAATACAGCATACTCGGCTCTTCTGTACACCGATCAACCGAGTATAGCAGGGAGCGATGGAGGCTCTGCTCTCCCAGCTGGCCTTCCTCGCCAACCAGGCTCTCCACGACAAGAACTTCGATCCCTCGGCGTTGGAAGAGCTCTTGGCCCTCTTCGAGCAAGAGGCCTACGCCTCCTGGGCCGCCGAGCACCAGAAGGCCGCCGCCGACGACGCCAAGGTCTCCATCAAAGACGCGGAGGACCACCTCCAGTCCCTCGTGGCCGACTTCAGTGGCTTCCGCCGCCAGGCCGATGAGCCTGCGACGGAGGCCGAGCCGTCGAGCTCAGAGCGGGACGGTGACGCGAGGCAGGAGCTGGGCAAGTCCCCCTGCGCGGCGGCCGCCAGTACGGCCTCCAACAAGTACGCGGACGCGGCGGTGGCTTCGGCCTTGGCCACCGTGAAGTCCGCTTTTGCTTCCTCGAAGCTCCAGCCCTGATTAGATCTCACCGTGTAGCTGAAAACCAGTGAGCGGCGGCATAAGTCACAGTCTGTGTGTGGTTGCGTGTGTAATTTAGTATCAGCTTGGGTTCGATATGAGATGGAGGTGGCGATGGCGGAGACGAACATTGTTGCGTTGTGGTTCTGCAGTCCCTTTGGATAGCGCGAAAAGTCCAAGTTGCAATGTCCCACTCCCACCGCTATTGCCGTCCTGCATTATTGTAGTGTCGGCCGTCGTGTCGCTTCCTGGAGATCCTATTTACTCGATTGACGATTTTTCCTTTTCTTCTAATATTTGAACTCTTTCGGGGGCTAAATGATCCACAGGCTTCAAATTGTCACGAAATATACTCGTCATTATTGTAATCCCACAACCTGGGATTTTTGTTTGTTAAATGATGCTATATTGACGCTTTAAAACATTAAATTAACAATCCCACAACTCATATAATAGGCTTAAACAAAGAGATGATCAACACATTTATACGTTTATGCCGTCGCACAAGTTCGAAGAAACAGATCATCTGCCACGAGGAAGAAGCACAAGAGCCTGCTGGCGCTATGAGGACGCAGCATAGTCTTTAAGGCATGCAAAATGGCATTTACAGGGAACATTTTACTTGATTTCAGCAAGAAAAATCCTAGAAAATGGTCTTGGCAGACAACACAAATTAACTACCAACAGTATCTCACAGAAGAGTGACTTCTACATAAATCATTGATTACTGGCTTTCGGCCCTGTGACAGAACTTCTGATTGTGTTCCCTCATTAGATGTCATGTCACTCTGGAATTCATAAGCTCGACTTCGAATTGTCGACGAAGCTCAAGAGATCGATGGTAGAGGTTAATATCGAGGCCGTCGACGTTCCTTCCTACACGCGCTTGCAAAATTGCCTGGAAATAATATACAAAACCGAGTCAAAGAGCGGAGCTCAATGTGCCACTGATTATGAAATAGAGAAAGAGCTTCGATAATTCCAAAAGGAATCAATAGCATCTTTCGTACGCTGTCCTCTGGTAAAATGAGGAGTTCCCCAATGAACTGATAATAGGAGCCGATCCGGAAGGTGAGGTCCCTCAAGTGTTGTGTATCGATCTTGAAGCTAACATCATCCTCGGTGATTACCGCTATGGCAGTGTCCACGCTGTATTCTTGAAGCCTATGGAGCAGAAAATTATAGCTTGATTAGCACAGACATCCTAAGGGGCTTCACAAAGACCATGAGAAAGTAATATAACTAGACAAAATTATGAATTGAAGCCTCAGCAGGGAGAAGTCAGCTAATGAAGAACAAGGAATATTAACCAGGAAGTTTTTGCCTCAAAAAGTTGGCATATACAAAGTTGTGTTTTTCCTCAAAATAGAAAAAAAGAAACCAACTCGAGTATATAAAGACAGCTGAAGTTTAGATCCAACAGTATTAGGACAAAAGATTTGAGTAACCAGACCTTTAACATCCTACTTTTTATAGTTGACTAAGAAGTTCAAATAACAAAGTAAATTGGTAACAACATCTGTATGTATATATCTTTTTCTTCAAAGAGAGAAAAAAATGGGAATCGATATATATATATACATATATATATATATATATATATATATAT